AAAGTATATACCTGAATGGAAGGGAATAAATCTTGAAACTCCACTAAGGGCATTCATTAAAAGAGTAGTCCAAACGTTATCCAAAGCAGAATGGACATGGCTAAAAAAAAAGAATGATGATAGACATCAGTTAAGAATCTAGAAAAAGAACTGAAAAGCTTTTAAAGGAATTTTAGAAGGATGCTGTAACTAATATCAAAATTCTGAAGTAAACCATCTACATCTTTTCAAGATCAAGTGTATCAAAAACCTCCTTCTAACAATTAGAGTTCTAAATAGTAGAAAACCATACTTATACAAAAATAGCTTATGCAAAAGGTGTAGTAGAGGAAACGAAACAATAAACTATCTAATCACATGTGAAAAAGTATATTAGGCACTAGAAAAATTGAAAAAGAAGTATGGGAATGACTGCAGGAAGATAAAAGGAAAGACGAAAACTAGGATTTAGAAGATTTGCAAAAAATCTTTCAATAGAAATACGGAAAAAAATTAGAAAAAAGGAAAGAATAGATGAGAGGAACTTTATGCAAAGAAGATGCAGAAAAAATTCAGGCACTACTAGGCTCAGAAAGAATGACAACGAGATTCTGGAGCCTGTTTTGGTATATTTGGATAGAATTGGTATACAAAGAAATCTGGAAAAAACGATGCAAAGACACAGAAGCATAGAAGAAAAAAGAAAATATTTCTAGAAAAGAAAAAGTTACACAGATGGGAAAAAGGAAAAAATGATCCAAAAAAGAAGCTACAACAAGAAAAATGAGTAGTAGGGTAGACGAGAATACAGAAAATTATAATATTAGTCTTAAAATAGTGTTAGATAGTATAGCCAGGGAAGTAAAGGAGAGAGTTGTAGCAAGTTAGTTTTTAAGTTAGTCATGATGAGCTGTGGTGTCCTTCCTATTAACTATATGTAATTTATACACGGTATAAGTCACATTAGTATAGGACAAAGGTTACTATGGCAGATCGCACATAGGTATTCTCAGGATAACTGGATGAGTCAAAGCTTAAAAAATTAGACATTAGATAGTATATAACTAATTAATACTGTTTTCAATTGGAAAACAAATCTAAATAAAGTCGTGGCATGACTGCTGAAAAAAAAAAAAAATAAATCATATTTTATAAATACAAAAATACCAATCTTAATAGATTGTTAGTACTGTTTTTGATAGATAGAAAAAAAAAATCAATTTACATACTGTTCTTAATAGGATTCTAAAAAAAAATCTTTAAAATACTATACTACTATAGAAAGTATATAAAAAAAATTGGAATTAGAGTTCATTTTTAGAGCCTTATCAAAAACTGTATTCAAAGAAATTTTTTTTTAACTCCATTAAGATCAGTACTGCTGATCTATCAAAGAGGTTTACTAACTAAAAATAATTCAAAATTTTAATTTAGCTAATTAGACTTTTTTATTATTTACAAATATATTGTAGTATTCGATATTTGATTTAACAAAAATTAACAACAATTTATATTTAACAAAGGCTTAGAATTAGATATAATAAATTCTACTTTATATAACTGATAAAGTCTCTATAAAGTGAATTTAGTTATATTGAGTACTACTATATACTGTACATTAAAATATAAATTAAGACTAATCAATATAAATGTATACTTGCAGTTATTAATGAATATTTTGAAAAATTCAAAAGTTGATTGTAAAATTATCTTGATTTTAAATAATACATTAGCTAAAAAACAAATATCTTTAATTGTATTTGATATTTTTTGTATGCTAATAATTTTGCTCATGTACATAGAATTCAGGTATTTTGGTGATATAATTAGCAACTTTTTGATTATTTTGTTAGCATCTAAAAATTGCTTTTTAATATCATCATCACTATCATATTCATCTTCCATGATTTTATTCTATTTTAAAGTTCATTACTAATACTATAACTACTAGGCCATTTTTGTAAATCTGAATTAATGTATTTTTTAGCAAATTTAATATAGCAGTTAGGAATCCCAAAAGCAAATTCTGGCTACAGTCTTTTGCAAATCTTTATTGCAAGACTAATATTAATTTTACAACTATCAAAAGGTCTTTGCCTAGTTGATATCTCTGACATAATAACTCTAAAACCATAAATGTTAGCAGTAAATATAAATTGTTAGCTGATAAAACTTCTAGTGTAATATAGAGTAGAACTACATAAATATCTTCTGATATATTTTTATCATACTTTCAAGACAATTCTAGATCTGAGATATAAGATTGTATTTCTTCACTAATATGTCAATTTTGTAAAATATTATCACTGTGAAGATCTGCATAAATATATTCTGCATTATTAATATTATATAAATCTTCAAAAATATTTAGAAGTAGTTTTAATCTAATTTGCTAGATAGGTTCTCAAAATTTGAGCTTAAATACTTATAAAGATTTTTATTATTAGCATATTGCAAGACTATTAAGTATTTATTAGTTTTTGTATTTTGAGTTATTCATATATTGCAAGTTTATTACTCAATAAATTGCATTTCATACAATTGTTAATCTTGATAAATTTTATATAAAAAATAAGTTCAAAATATATTTAATAAATTGTAAATAAAAATGATTTAATCTTAAGTTTTGCAAGTACTATATATGGGCACTAGTACCTGTTTAGCACTTATAGAACCTTCTACTTATTTCTTTTGAAAAATTGAGAAGGTTTTCATTAGAACTAGATAAGGACTTGAGTACAACAATTCCAGGTTCATGTACACTTCTATTACATCAATTTTTTATATACTATTCAACCAGATTGCTGAAAATATAAAACCAAATTCTCTCTTACTAATATTTTCAATATTATTTAGTTTATCAAAAGGAATCTATTCAATTACTTTCTCATATGAATTAGCTCTAAGTTGAAAGTATTTCAAACAGTCATCAATATCTTTATTTTTACTTATCTAACCTTGAATTTTATTGTCAGGAGCATATTTATTATACTATTTATATGATTTTTAAGCTTTATTGCAAGTAATCTTTATGCTTACTGACTAAATTAATACAAATAAAAAAGTTATTTAATAGATAAATATTTATAAGCATGAATTGCAGATTTTAAAATATATAGATTAATAAATTATTTTTATACTCACAAACTAGAATAAAAATATTATTTATTTATAAAATAAATTACAGATTTTAAATATATAAATTAATAAATAATCTTTATACTCGCAAACTAGAATAAAAAGATTATTTAATGTAAATATTAATAATCATAATGCAATTTGGATCATGTTCAGATCATATTATGTCATAATGTATTAAAACAATTTTTAACAGTTTTAAATCAAACAAACATGTTTTTTAAGATCACGTTTTAAAACATTTGCTATCTCTATTTATTACTAATATTTGTATATTTAAAATTAATTTTAGATTAATTTAGTTTAATATGCTATCAATATCACCAATACTACCAATATCACCAATACTACCAATATCACCAATACTACCAATATCACTAATATCATCAATATTACCAATATCACCAATACACCAATACTACTAATATCACCAATGGTAGATGGTAAATGGTGATAAATAAAGGTTGGTGCAACTATGTTATATAGTTTTACGTACCAACAAGCTTAGTATAATCGTATTTGTTATCATGTTTATCAAAAAAGTATATCTAATAAGTTAGGATTTATTTACGGTGATTCACAATGAGCATATTAACGGTAGATTTACCGAAATTATTATATAAATGCATGTGTACACTGTATGATCATTTCACTGATGAGCGGGAAAAATAAAAAAGACAACGATATAATCGTTGCGCAAAGACGTCTTGAACACTATTATAATGCGATAAAATCACAGGATAATGATACGTCTATCGATAATGCTGATTTTGGTAATTCATGATCGAAATTTAAATATTGGGAAATTTAAAAAATCGATAATAATTTTAAAACATTGAAAATAGCATCAACAATTTGCATTGGTGATGTTTCATTAAAAATTTCGGAACCAAAAAACCCCGAATTGGTCCCATATTATACTAAACCTTTATTCGAAGATTCACAAGTACGTTTTGAAATCGATTCCTTCCATTCTATCCATTAAATTGAAAAAATTGACATGCATTAAAGTTTTTAAACTTCATACATTGGGACTTGTAAAATCCTTCTTATATCAAGAGTTTCTTATATCGAAGATTTCTTGTACATACCCAGTTCTAATAAATAAAATTCTCTTGCTATTTTTTATTTAATTGGTTTTCCTCAGGAAGTTCTTCGGCATTTTAGATGGTAAAAACTATGCATGTAAATATTTGCAATATTTAAATGAATTATATATAATATATTATGATCTCTAGGATGATGCAAAAAGAAAAACTTGGTCAGGATATTTTTCTCATTGGGTAAGGTCATATTTAACAGAATCAATATTATAGCAGATTTATTATCGTCCATATTAAACTCTGTACATTTTTAGCCCCCCAGGCCCATTAAGAAGAAGCCTCGTTCTTAGGTTTGCCCAACTTACAAAAAGAGAAATTGAGTACGTAGCATTATCTAAGGATTGTACGGATTCCGATCTTAAACAACGTCGTGAAATTTCCGGTGGTACCGCTTATTACGTAGATCAAGCATGTATTCCGTATTTAAATTTTATATAATACATAAATTTTAGTGAGAAGCTTTTTAATTTTTTTTTTGTTCAAAACCTTAGGCATGTGTACGTGCTGCTATACACGGCCGAATTTTGATATTAGATGGTATTGAAAAGGCTGAAAGAAATGTGCTTCCAATTTTAAATAATCTGTTGGAAAACAGAGAAATGTTACTTGAAGATGGTAGATTTTTAGTACATCCAAAACGTTACACCTCTCTTGCTGAATCAAATTCAAAAACAATTATGGATATTGGGAAATTAGTTAAGGTGTCTGAACATTTTATTGTGATGGCATTAGGTTTACCTGTCCCTCCATATGTTGGCCATTCTTTAGATCCTCCGCTTAGGTCTCGGTTTCAATGTAGAGACGTTAAGCAGCCTGGGTTTGATTCACAAATAAAACATTTACGTAAATTAGCCCCAAATGCTACTTCAGAAATAGTGGAAAGATTAGTATCTGTAGCAAATGTTCTTGGAAATAAACAATATGATAATGACGGTGGAATAACCATTCCCGAATTCCCAGCTTCAGTTGATACAAGTGTGTTAGTTTTACAAAAATTTCCAGGCATTCGACCACGCTTTTTAATCGATCTGTTATACCCATGGCCATTATTTCACAGGTGAATTTTTAAATCTGACTAACCTTGCAATTTTCATGTTCAGAAAAAAAGAATATGAACTGCAAGAAACTTTTATATTTGGAAGATTCAAACATGATTTAATAAATACTTGTGAAGGTTTTTACAATTGAATTTCCGTTTCTTAGTAATGTTGAACAAAAAAGCGTCATTGAAGCGACTTATCATCGCTTTGGAATGCTCGGATTTGATTTTGGAAGAACTTCTGAAAATGTCATACAAGAAGACGAAAATATTTTTCAATGCATGCCAGGGTACAATATTATAAATATCCAAGTATCAAAAGATATAAAAACAACTGTTGGTAGTGAGATTCCCATATATATGTTTGAATTGGATTTCCAACATACAGATGATAGTAAAATTCATCATGTTAGTGTTTTTGGTGGTTCTGATGAACTCTCCTCGGCTGATTTCTTTGTAGAAACAGAATATCATCAAAATATTTTTAATGCGATGTTAATTGCACATTCGGTTGGTGATTTTTGTCTTATTGGTGAAAAAGGCGTTGGAAAGAGTGCATTGATAAGACATTTTACAACAAAGCTTGGGTATATATTGAGCTTTTTTTTTTTTTTTTTTACCATTATGATACATTAGAATTATTTTAATTTACGAGTGTTATGATAGTAATTTCAGGGTTTCTTATTATATATACATTCAAATTAATAATATTTCGTTATTTTCTAGCTATAATATTGAATATATTCCCTTATATAAAGACATGTCTTCTCGTGATCTGCTCCAGCGTCGTAGTACTACTTTCGCTGGTGACACCATATGGGAGAATTCACCACTGGTTCGGGCTTCAATTTCTGGATATCTTGCTGTTCTAGATGGGATTGATACACTTTCTGGAGGAACACTTATGGTTTTGGAGAGGTTAATTAAAGAACGTGAAATTTCGCTTCCTGATGGAAAGCAATTAATTCATCCTACTAGATATGAAAATTTGATCCAAAAGTATGGATTGACTCATGAGTCGTTGGAAAGCAAAGGGATATTTGCGACACATCCAGCATTTCGAATTGTGGCTTTGGGTCGTCCTGGCTCTTGGCTCACCCCAGAGATTGTTGCGATGTTTCAGTTTATTGTTATTTTTCCATTAAATTATCGAGTATTAACTTTATTATAACTTTCCTGATTTTGATGTGATTCTTTTTTGCAAATTCTTATTAATATATAACTAATTACCTAGGAAGAGACACAAGTTCTTGAAACTTTGTCTCCAGGAATAGATGCCAAAAAACTCTCCCTCCTACTGCGCTTAGTAAATCGTCTCCGTCAAGATACTGGAGAAACACTGAAACCTTTATCTGATGCACTTTCTACGCGGTAAATATAATTTAGGCAAACAAAGTTAATTTTTCTGGTTCTCATAATCTGACCAGTTTTATCAGCAAAAAATTTTATAAAATGTTTTATATTATTAAAATTTTATGTTTATCTTATGGTAACCAAAAAAATTAACTTGTGTTTATATTGGTAAATATACCAATTTGTTTTTAGTTATTATTATTATAATTTATTTAACAAAATTTAATTGTTATTTAAATTAGGTTTAATGAATTAATTTTTATATTAATTCATTAAACCTAAGTCCAAATAATAATTAAATTTAATTATAATAAAGTTAATATACCAATATATAAATATCTACTAATCTATTAATTTATATAATATTTTCAATAGCCAGCTTATCCGAATTTGTCGTCGTCTTACATTGTTTCCTAATGAGAGTCTTTACTTAGCGATTCAAAAAACTACTCTCTCGCGGTTCTTACCTTCATTAGTCAGAATGGCGCTAGAAGAATTGTTGATTAATAATGAGATTTTACCACCCTCAGAACCTATTAATATTGAACATGTAAGAGTGTACTCTCAATGTCCCTAATTTTGCAAATTATATTTTATATAAATAGTTTTATTTTCTAGTTGAAAATTGAAATCCTTCCGTCCCGAGATAAACCTGAAATTCTTCGTATCGGAGACGTGGAACAACTTATAGCAAAAGATTCAAATCCTCTTTTAATTCCTGATATAGTTTTTCATGAAAACCCAAAACAGAATGAAATACTAATGCAAATGTTGCAAGATTATCAACTGGGTATTTTATTGTTCCTTTATTTTACTATATTTTTATATTACTATATTTTTATATTACTATATTTTTATTTTACTATATTTTTATTTTACTATATTTTTATTTTTAATTCAACTTGTTTTAATATTTCCGGTTTTTTTTTTTTTTTTATTTTTTTTCGGACTATTCAGGTGAACATTTGTTGCTGATTGGAAATCAAGGTGTGGGAAAAAATAAACTGGCAGACTACTTTTTACAATTGCTAAAGTTACCAAGGGAATATATACAGTTACACCGGTGTGTGCTACAGATTGTTTAAATAATTAATAATATATAAAGTTATCTTATATAAAAATTTTATTAATTTATATATATTAAATAATATTATAGTGACACAACTGTGCAAAGTTTAACTGCCATACCTTCAATAGTTAATGGTGTCTTGCAATATGAAGATTCACCTTTAGGTAATTTATTTTAGTAGAAATATTTTAATGGAATATATTAAAAATAACATTTTACTTTATTTTAGTCAAAGCTGTAAGAAATGGTGTGTTGTCTTTCTTTTTTCATAAGGAATTGTACAATATCAAAAGATTTTTCTAATATGTGATGTTATATTACGAATATTCAGGTCATATATTAGTTGTAGATGAAGCAGATAAAGCCCCTACATATGTTACAGCAGTACTTAAGAATCTTCTTGAAGATGGTCAGATGGTTTTAGGAGATGGAAGGAGAATAGTTTCAACTCTTACATCAAAAAATCCTAAAGAAGAATGCATCGTAATTCATAGAAATTTTAGAATGATTGTTTTGGCAAATAGACCCGGTGAGAATTATAAATTCTAAGGATATTGTTTATCTAATTGTGATCAAATATTAATTTAACATTTTAATAAACTTAATAATCATTGTTTAGGATTCCCATTTCTTGGTTAGTAGTGGCAAAGCATTCTCAATAATATCATCATCACATTAACTTAAAATATTAACGGACGTTTTCTATATTAACTTAGGGAACGATTTTTATAGAGAAATTGGAGATGTTTTTAGCTGGTAATAATCATTATTTGTTTCCTTCAATATGTTTAATGTTATTCCTATATTAACTTGTATCAACAAAGTCACGCTGTTGATAATTCCGATTCAGATTCTGAAATGTTTCTATTGCGCAATTATGCCCCTTCAGTTTCCGATGATCTTTTATTAAAACTTACAGCTGCATTTAGTGATCTGAGAAAACTTGTGGATGAAGGGTTGATTTCTTATCCTTATTCCACAAGAGAGTTGGTGAATATTGTTAAACATATGCAAGTAGGTTATCAAGTAAATTTAATAAATTTATTATATAGTTAATATATACGTATTTAAATTATTTTGTATTCGGTATAAATTTACACATTTATGTAGCAATACCCAAATGAGGGCGTTTCATATATTTTACAAAATGTCTTTGACTTTGATCAATATGATAAGGTTTCTAAAGATCTTTTGATAGCAGTTTTTCAAAAGCATGGATTCCCAGTTGGATTAGAGTCTGAATATACAATTAGGTTAGGAAAGAGAGTTCCGTTGACTGGTCCACAAATTACTGAGGTTTGGAAAAAATCAAGTTTAGGAGGAAAAATTTGTGAAGTGAGGAAATTTCCAATGAAATTTAGGGTGAGTGAATGAATTTAAATATTTTGATAGCTACGGAGTTATATCTCAAAATTTTAAGAATATTTGAATTATTAACTTTTTAGGGCTTGTGGGAAATTCATATAAACGAGGCTAAGGAATTGAACAGAACTGAAGGCAAGCAAACATTATACTATGTTATTTATTTTATTCATCATAATAATTTTATCTATATAAAAGGCCGCATTGATTCTTTTACGGAACAAATATACTCTTTCCGAATATCAACGCGCGGTGAAGCTCATGATATAGTAGGCCTTGGTGATGGTTCATTGTTTGTGGTGACTACAAGTCCAGCGACTTTACATGCCATCTGTCAAAATCATCAAAAAGTTAGGAGTATCGACTTGCACGAATATTTTCCTTTGCAGCAAAGTATATAAACAAGTATTCATCAGTTGCTTTTCATGAAAATAAGCTGACTCAAAGTTTGTGAAAAAAAAAAAAACTTTAAACATTCTCTAGTCCCTTCACAACTAAGATTATCTATCGTACAAAAAAGAGATGGAACTTGGTTGTTGATACTTCATAACTCTTCCGATAATTCTATACTTTTAGTCGACTTTTCAAGAAAGTCTTTAACTGCACTTACGGTATTCCCAATATAGTTTTTTTTTTTTTTTTTTTATATCTATTTGCAATTTGAAAGCACGCGTAATATTTATATACGCATTTAAATAGTTATCAGTATCGAGCCCAGACGAAACTGTTATGCTAAAGGATTTTGAAGTTATTGGAATCTTAGGTATGCCTTTTAGCTATAAGTAATTTATTTCAAGTAACCAAAGTAACCAGTTATATTATGCAACTTATAAACTAATTATTTAATGTTAAAAACATTTCAGTTTTTTACCAAAAAGGAAGGACATCCATCATTATGCTTGATTTTAATACAAATACTTCATATACAATAGAAACATCCATGAAAAGCAAGTCTTCTTTTTTCTTTTTTGGATTATATTTTCTTTGTTTTAATATTTACTATTGAATTATTTTAGTTGCCCAATTATACTTGGTCAAGCCTGACGTGTGGTTTTTTAGGGACGTTTTCGATAAACATTTTCTTGTTTATGCACAGCCAGATAATAATGAGAACATGTAAGTATATTATTAATCATTATTATTTCATACAAATATTAATAATATTATTGAATTTATTAGGATTCCCAATGTCGTTGAAATTTTTGATGTTAAAGGATTAATAAAGCCTACTCCAGAAGAAACAATATATCTCTCTCAAGAAGGTGTTGCACAAGCTAATGTGTAGGTTTAACCGAACCATGTGGTTTTATATTATTTATCATTTATTCAAGTTATTTCATTTATTAGATTATCTGCTCGTTTTCTCCAAACAAATAATGTTTCAATAGCGGCTTCTATTATCTCAAATTTACCTGAAGCGTTAATTAATAATATTGGTGATGTTCAAGTTCTTTCATATATGAGAGACCCGGTTGATGAGGGGAACTATGAAAATTTTTACAAAAATTTAAAGAATGTTTCAATATTTTTATCTAAGTCTGGTCAATTGGCAACTGTAATTCCATCAAAAGTATGATTAAATTATCATTATACTTCATTCGCAAAGTTTAAGCTCTCTCCTTTTAATATTGATTTGACATAAACTATAGAACGGTAGAAGTACTGGATATTTAGAACTATTTAATCCTGTTCAAAAAATATTATGGAGAATTACTCTTCCGTTGGCCATTCCTGGAATTGCCAAACCGTAGAGTTTTTTTTTTTTTTTTTTTTATGTACTACGCTTTATATAATAAAGATCTTAAAAAAATGTTGCTATTTCATAGTGATCAAGTACTTCCAGCGACGAGCCATCAATATATACAGGTTGATAGGATGGTGGCATCTTTGTTGGAATTGCCTAATGGTGATTTATTAACAATGGATAATAGTGGTAAGAATAGTTGCTGTTTTATATTATGTCAATTTTTATGAAATATTAATTATTCTATAGGTGTTGTAAGAATATGGCAAGTTAATGCAGAAGAATTAATAAAAGCAGCTAATGCATGGAAAAAGTTGGTTGGCAATATTGATAAACGCGTTTTGTCTATTATATATGGTGATTCAGAGGTTTGTATCAATATTTTTCTCAACACTTATTTTAGAATAAACATAATAAGCACTAATTATATAAAAATTAGGATAACTTTACTAAAGACACTTCAGAGAACGAGACTTCTATTGATATGAGTTTTCTTAATGGTATATCACACCGTGGATCTGGACCTGGTGATGACGATGGTGTATCTGAACCTGGTGAAGGTGAAGGTGCCGGGAGAGGCGAAAGTGATCCAATGAATTCTAAAGGAAGACAACAATCCTTTGTAGATGTCGAGAAGCTAGAACTCGTGAGTATATTTAATAAAAGTTGGATTTTTTTTTTTTAGACTTATTAATCAATATTTAAATTTAGAGGGATGAAGCTAAACAACCACTTGAACTTACCGATGCTCAAAGGTTTGTGTTTTAAGTAAGTGCATCTTCTATTTTATGAATAAAATAACATAAACTTGCATGTTTTCAGAGAATTGCATGAAATGGCAATGCAAAAACGACTTGAACAAATTAATATGACCCAAGAAGATTTTGAGTTATATCGTTCATATAAAGCCAATGTTCAACGTGAAATTCGAGAACTCCATGTAATATTGGAGAGTATTGAAGCTAAAGATAAAGAACGTATATGGTTAAAAAATCAAAGTTCCGGAGATGTAGACGATACTAAATTGTAAAATTTATATTATTGACTTTTATGTATCTCAATTTAAATACACTTTTTGATTAAGTAATTAAATTCACCTATTTTTTAGAATTGAAGGATTAACTGGAGATGTAAATATTTATAGGCGCCGTGGTGAGAATGATCCCGAGAATGGGTTTTACCAAGCTCTTCCTAAAAGGATGTATTTTGTTTTCGATTTAAGTGCTAGGTTAGTTTTACCTCATAACGTTAATCTTAATATTTATGTAATGATTGTGCAACTTTAAAAAATGAATTATAGCATGTATCGATTTAATTCTCATGATCGTCGGTTGGACCGTTCCATGGAAGTTGCTCTTAGTAAGTCCAATATTACTTATTTTTTTACATTCATATTATACAAATTAAAGTATATAATAATATATATTATTCTTAGTGATTATGGAGTCATTTAAATCATTTGAACATAAATTTCAATATCAGATTTTTGGGCATAGTGGAGATTCACCTAATATTGAATTCGTAAAAAAAGATAACTATCCGCGTACTGAAAAGGAGACATTCAAAGTTTTGAATCAAATGAATGCACATTCGCAGTTCTGTCTTAGCGGAGGTATATGTCAAGTTTCTCTACAAATATTGTTAAATATTATATTGTACGCATGTAGTCTTAATAAGCTTTATAAAACATTATTTATAATTTTTTAACATATAGATAATACACTAAGTGCATTATCACACGCTATTAAAGATATTACAAAAGAAGTGGCAGATGATTATTTTGTTGTTGTGCTTTCTGACGCTAATATTCAACAGTATAAAATTAATCCAGAGGACATTGCCAAAGGTATTATTTTTATTTAACACGTTTCAAATAAGTCATTTACGATAATTTTCTTTATTTTATATTTTTTGGTATTATAACTCATGCTATAACATTTATTATAGCATTGAAAACAGACGAGAGAGTAAATTCCTTCATAATATTTATTGGATCTTTACAAGACCAAGCCGAGAAGTAAGTAAATAAATAACCTTATTTTTAATACGTAATTCAAGTCTAACTTTTTTTTTTTTTTTTACTATTGCTATTTTAAATCTCAAGGTTAAAAAGAAGTCTCGGTAGCCATGCACATATTTGCCTGAATAACAAGGATTTGCCGCAAATTATAAAATCTATTTTTTTGGCCTCAATGTTAAAAGCTTAACAATTTATATTGAAATAGATCTTTTTTATTTATTTATTATAAGCCAATAAAGTTATTAGTTCAATAAGTTAAATATTTGATTATACAAATTTTTAAGGGTATCTCTAATATAAACAGAAGTGTTTATCTTTTAATGATATTTATTTACATATTAAATTAATTTAAGTTATACAATTTGGTACTGTTAATATATATAAATTTAAAACAACTCTTTTTGATAATCATCAAAACCAAAATTGATAAGAGTTGGTCTGTGACCTGAATTCAGATCAGTTATATAAGCAATACCTTGGCGAAATAAGCTTCGTAATTTGGAATAGTGTCTGGAAAATTTACACAGTAACTTTTGATTAATGCAACACATGGAGCAGTTGAGTAAGATGGTTCCTGTAATAATGCAAAATAAGATATGAACCCTCTGAGATATATCTTTCTAAGTTTTAGTCTCTTTTCTAGTTTTTTTCTGTATAAGGCTTCTCTCAGTAATACTTTTTCGAGTAATAAGTCTAATTTCATTAAGGCTTTCAACTTAGTGAGCTACAAGATTTTTTCCTCTAGGTTATTCTAAATTTTTTGATATATTTTACATTCAACTAGATAATGCATAGTTTTGTCCTCTCTAAAGCAAGTTATATATCTGCAGCTTTTGTATAATTTGAAATTCCTAAGATAGCAAATATCTTTAGTAGGTCAAATACTATTTATGCACTTGATACAGAACATAAGTGCTTTGCTTTTTTTTAGATTTATGTACTTTTTTCCTTGCAAATTTTTAAGCATTTCTTATATATTTCTTCAATTTAATTCAGTAATGCAGTTGGTTTCTGCATTTGGTATTATGATTATAGCTATTTTACTTAAGTTTGCCTATTCAATTTTATAGACTATTGTTGTAATTATATTTATTTTTTTTTTTTTTTTGTTATTAAGGTGGCTTACATTGCCGAGCGAATTTTATTAGTTTGATATATGAGGTCCCACA